CGGGACCATATAGTTGTTATATTTAGCTAAAAGGCCCATAGGATGAGATTCTCATACAGACAAACTCCTACTCACACAGTATTCTCCCCGTCATTGTCACTCAATACCTATTCTCCAGAATTCTCACCTCTACTTCTCTATTTTTATCTTCTATGCTGATGAACTTGTTTTTAACAAGGAAATCTTTTCTCAGAACCTTTAACTTCCTGTCACTACAGATTGTAAAGATTTTATTGTAAACACACTGTTAAAATCGTTTGAGAAGAGAACAAATTCTATGTGCATGTAAAATGGGTGCCTTGTATTGCGTGGCCAGGAGGGTCCTGGGGGCGCCCCCAAAATGCAGTGGTGCTCTTCAATGCATATAGAAGTTGTTGCTTTGCCCGTGTGCCCCCTGTGCCCAGCTATTAGCTTCCAAGTGTGCTGGGTGGCTTCACTGGTCAATAGTAAGACACGGAAAGTAGGAAGGGGCATGCAGAACACAGACGGAATAAAGTCCCTATTTGCACATTACATCCCTATTATTATTCCCTTCAGTACACAAACATGTTCATACTGCTTTGTATTCTGTTAGGTCTTGGCTGTGTACTTTGGTGTTATTAAAAAGACTAAACTCTGAGCAAACCGCTAAATACACCGAATACATACAAACAGGTGGGAGCTGTTTAGCCTGCCAAAGGATTTGTATTTCTGCCCACCATGTTCTGAGATTTACACAGCTCTGCCACACAGCATAGGCCTGTTTGGCATGGGAAGATATGGATTTATCTCTGCTGCAGTTAGAGTATCACCAGAACATGAAAATATGTGTTAAATCCTCCAGGGAACAAAGTGCATGTAGCAGGTCCCATTTTGATCTGTGGTTGCTTTGTGCAATAATAGCACATTTTTATGTCTGTTTGTGGTACATGTCAGCTACACCCCAGGCTGAAGACCAATTTATGGGCATTCCCACCGGGGAGTTACTGTACCCACCACCCACTGTTTCTAGAGTGATGTTAATAGTCTGCAAGGTCTTGTTAGGAATACTTGCTGGGACTTCATCATAATACACACCTTCCATCATGCAACCATGACATGCGCAGCTCCTTGGGGCACCTAGAGCAGGTCAGACGTGATAAGTGTGTATTCAGGAGATTCTTCTTCCGTGGCACACAATGTCAGGCCTCATTCATGCTGGGCGATTTGGATTCTCTGCTGCAGAAACCTACAGATAACGGAGGCAGGAAACCCAGATGTTCCTTTTAGATGTGGCTGTTGTACCTGCTCAAGTTAAATCTTAAAAATTCAAGTACCTTAACTATTAACAAAACTGGCCTCCATTTGTGTATCACTCGGCTGTAGACCCTCAAATCATCTCTGAATTGGTGCTGACACTGTCCTTCCTTCAGGAGAGTGGCTACTTTTGTTCCCCATGGTCCCTGTGTGTTGTAAAGTAACATGTGGTTTATGATAATAATGGAGCATTGTTGATAATGAGCACTACACTTTGTTGTACCTGATATAACCGGACTCTACACCATCTGAATTTCCAAATTGGGGGACATACAGTATACATCAATGCACAAACAGGGAGGCCACTCCATGCTTCTACAAGGTACAGCTACACACCAGAAGGCCAGACATGACCTTAACAAGGCAGCTGAAGACTTCCAGTGTGTGTCTGCTAATCCAAAATATCATGCCCGAGACTCACCCCCTTATAGGGCCAGCGGGAGCTGGTGGGAAGGGGTTAACATCAGCGATTTAAACTGCACTTCTTTTCGCAGAACACGCAGCCCAAGTAGAATAAACAGCACTGTTACTGATTACCAAAGTCAACAGCTAAATCCGCTGCCCATCTCTAACCTCATCCTCTGCCAGCTGACACAGAACAATGATATATGGTGCTAACAGCAGTGCAAAGTGTGGGACATACGAGCTGTGATTGACAGCCGGGCTTCACCTTCGCTACGCTGTCAAAGTGCCAAGCGGACAGAGTCCAGTGAGGAATATCGAGGAAACGACGTCTCCAAGGACGGACGGGAGCAGAGTGTTCTACATTGATTATGCACCGGTGAGTTTATAAATTAAATAGTTCATATTCAGCAGCGACGTCTGTAAGAATGTTATGGAAAGGGTTGCTTTAAAGCAGTGGTTCTCAACCTGTGTAACCTTGGGACCCACATTTGTCCTCGGTCATTAAGTCGTGACTCAAGTTGCACTGCAATGTTCCATGTTGCGGTACTGGGCTTTCCGGTGCAGACGATCGAACTGTGGGTGGGAGGTGCGTTTGGGTTGCCATTACGGAACCTGGAGTGGATCCTCACCCTGGGGTCCAGTGTGGACTGCTGTGCCGTGATGGAGCTCAATCCATATGTGTAATGCTTGTAAAGCTCCCGTGCGTGCCCCTAGAGGTGCCGGGAGCCAGAATGTGATGAGCTGTAAGCAATGCACGTATGGATGGAGCTCCCTCGCGACCATAGGCCCAGCCCACCTCACCCCACCCCACCCCAAGTCGACACTCTGCACCGGGCATATTTTCAAATGGCTGCTCGATGCGAGAACTGACAGTGCTGCTCTAGGGGGAGGCTAAGGATCCTCTCACCTAGAAAAGTGGAAGGCATGTGACGACCCACCAGTTGAGAACCAAGGCTTTAAAGGCTATCTCTATGTAAATCCTGTATTTCTATATTGAATTTCCATAAGTTCTATCCCACTTCTAATAACCAGATCCACTTAGAAGTTTGTAAACGTACTTATTGACAAAGCCCATAGGTAGGGATGCACTGATACCGGTTTTTCCGTAATGAGTACCGATATTTTAAGTCGCCCGGCTTCCTGATTGCCTGTGAAGCCGGTGTTCTGGCGAAAGAACACCGGCTTAACATGCCGAGGCTGCCGGCTGCTCTTAAAAACTGTATTTTTTAAAAGTTTTTTCTTTATGTATGGGGATCCAGGGCAGTACCTGGATCCCCATAAGTATCCCCCAGGGCAGTTCCTGGATCCTCATACACCTTTTTATGGCCAATAACTTGCATATAAGCCTTCAAAATGGGGACATTTGATTTTCCGAGTTCTGCTCCCATAGACTTGCATTGGGTTCGAATTCAAACTTTTTGGATGTTCTAAAGTTCGAATTTGAACGGAACTCGGAGCTGTTAGACTCATCACTCCTGCCTACCTCTGCTACAGAGTGTCACTTGAGGGGGCTGCTGACTTTACATCCAAGATGGCAGCTCCCAGCAGCAGCCTCAGGGCCGGTGCACACCTAGACGACACCCCACCATGCGGCAATTGTGCACGATTCCCGCGCGGTCAGGAGTTGCCCAGGTGTGCACCGATCGCGCTGTGGGTGCCATTATTTTCCAATGGCGCCCCAGTCAGTGCTTCTGAACATGATCGTGGCTAAAACAGACACGCGCTGTTCATCGCAGAAAAAAAGGTACTTGCGGTGGGGTGTCGCCTAGGTGTGCACTGGCTCTTAGTGCTTTTGGATATTCACATAAGGGAGGCTTTTATATATATACAACATGCATTAAATATGTTAAATGCACCTATAATCTCAGTCCCAGGACTGGTGGAGGTGCACCGACCGGTCTCTCAGGAAGAACAACATTTCATACATCTATGAGGAGCAATGCAGTGGCTCTCCTCAGATCAGAGCTGCAGGCTCTTGTCACACAGGTGTGACCGCAATCTATGTGACATCATGTCACCCGGCCGGTTAGACGGTGTATTCTAGAAACAGTCCAAAGGTTGGCTGTACAGGGAGGAGGCAGAGTGCGATTCTGTGCAGGAGCAAGGCAGCATGGCGGGGAAAAAGTGAGTAGAAAGTCTCCTCATGGAGGAAGGTTCTGGGGTGCATGGGGGAAGGATGGTGGGGACATTTGCAGCTTTAACCTCTTTCTGGTCACACTCAGACTCAGGTGATGTGGAAGCCTTGTCGTATCTTTTCGCTTGGTTGTGGACATATACTGTACACATACACACACACACACACAGCGGACTTTATAAAAACCGGAACAGAAATCTGAAGCAGTCGCCCATGGCAACCAATTGGCTTCTCTTTCACTTTAAAAGCTTAATTGAAGAAACTGAACAGGGAGACTGATAGGTTGCCATGGACGACTGCTCCATTTCTGATAAATTTACCTCTTGACCAGTGACACAAGACAGCCGACATCTTATCTGCCTTTGGGGTCACAATGTCACTGCTCTACTGACGAGTACTCAATTCTAAAAGTTTCATTTACAGCGACACTACAAAGGAGGTATTCTTTTTTTTTTTTTTATATCTAGGTAACTATTACAATGCCCATTGGATCCAAATTGTATCTGTTTAAGACCAGGTGAAGTGCAACTGAGGACCAAACTTTGTCTTTTAGTTTTGGGAGTGTAAAGAGATTAGAAACCTTGTCAGGTTTTTAGTGCCGTCTGTGTCCCCGATAGAGAGATTCACACTCCCTCTTGGCCCTGATGACAGTTATCATCACTGAAAAAGAAAATGCCAATTTTTGGTTTGTCACAAGAACAGGAAAAGGAGGGGAAATCTTTCACTGGGGACACTAGTTCTGGTGACCACTAGGGATTTCCTTTTTTTTCCCCACCAGGGATTTTGTTTTGGAAAGTTGATCAGAAATCTACACGTCTCAGATAGCCCAGCTCTATTCCTATAGAAATTATCTTAAAGTGTATTTCCACCTTTGCAGCCATATTGTGAAGACACCTAGTTTATATGTAATAATAGTAAAGATAAGTAGTATCAATAATATGTGGTTCAGTTTTGGTCACCAATCCACAGAAAGGATGTCCTGGAGCTGGAGTGAGTCCAGAGAAGAACAACGAAACTCATTAAGGGGCTGGAGGATCAAAGCTATGAGACGAGGTTACTAAAATTAAAACTTGTTCACGCTGGAGGTGAGGAGCTTAAGGACGGGACATAATTTTGATGTACAAAATGTTTGGTGGCGATGACAACATCCGCCACAAACATTTTACTCTAAACTCACTAACAAGGACTAGAGGACACCACCTAAAATTGGTGGAGACAAGATTTAACCACAAGGGGCGTAGGCAGGGCCGTAGATAATTTTTTTCCCCTGGGGGGGTTCAGCTTCCTCCAATTATAAGACTTTATCTAGCAGACACACCAAGACTTTATCTAGCATTTGAAATAGCTTGAAAACCTTTTGGCTTTAAATAGTGAAGCTTTTCCAGTGCTAGTATGGCCCCTATGGATCATGCAAAAGCTTCAAGTACTCATATGAACCCACAGGTCACCTTAATAATAATAAATATATATGTACACGCGCACAAAGCCACACACACACACACACACACACACGATGCACCGATACTTGGCATTTTCATGAGAACTACCAGGGTTGCAGCTGGGACCTAGCTCTGGCGCTCCACCATTGTCCTGAAATCATTAGTCTGTATTGTTTTACAAAAACTGTCACATGACAATAAACAAAAATGGTATCGGTGCATCCCATAACACACACACAAACACATTATATATATATATATACATATACACACATGCACACACACAATATATATATACATACACAAATAAATGCAAACGTACATACACTTCCTGCTGCATAGAAATAATAAAATAAAAGAATAATAAAATATTACAAAAAATAAGAATAAATTGATGAAACTAAAATATATACGTATGGGTTCGGAGTAAACACCATAAGTGGTTCAATGTGTATGTGAACAAAGACCAGTTTCCTTATAATTATGATCTGCGTAGACACAAAGGTGATCTCTGTGCTTCTGAACCATTCCCCTCAGGAGCAATTTCTACATTTTTGCACACACAGGATAAAAATCTGAATTGTTTGCTAGAAAACAGCTGACGACCCCCAAACATTTCTAGATTTTCTGATAGCCGAGGTCCTGTAGAATAAAAAATGCTAGTTGCAATTTATGTTGCGCAAATGATTATCAAACCGATATTTTATGATTAAATACACTACAATGAATTTTAGTGCAATTGATGCAATAAACGTTACTTCCGCTTTCAGTGATAGGAGAGGAGATCAGATGATGGAAGTGTGCTGTTCTCCCTCCGATCCAGGAGGAGAGACCCTCCATGCTGGTCCCAGGCCCGCAAAGGGGAAAGCGGAGCCTGGGATAGCCAGCAGCGGCTGCAGAGGGTAGCACACTCCCCAGCTGCATACAAGTGATCGGGCGGCTCTATAGCCACCTGAACCCTTTTTTGTGACAGCCAGGCAACGGGTATAAAAAAACAACAACTGCAGCTGCCGTGATCTTGGTGTAACCACTTCAGGATCGCGCCATTTATACACGTGTTGTGGTCCTGAAGTGGTTAAACGAAAGGTCATAAATTCTTTAAAAGAGAACCATGAGGTAAGTGTTTTTCCCCATAGTTCTCTTTAAGGTCACTGGAGGACATATACTAACCTCCCCCCGTGACCCAAAGCTCAGTATATAGCGAGCTATTGCCTGCGATATATTGAGAGCGCCGCAGCTGGGATGGATCCCGACAATACTGTCGAAATCCACCTAGCTGCGTGAGTGACAACTGGCGTGAGTACATGCGGCCTATCTAGAGGTTGAGCAGCTGTGCCCGCCGCCTCCCCGTTCGTTCCTCCACTCAGAGGTGAAGGATCGGAGAAGGGGAATCCCTGCGGGGCATGTTCGGCGGCATGTTTCTGCTCTCTTCCCGATCGATAGAGCCGACCTGCGACAGCTTCTTTGTCATACGTTGGCTCTAAGCGCTTGTTCACACCGAAAGCGGTGCATTCCAGAGCGGTAGCTGCTGGAACGCACCGCGATCTTCCCCTTGCGTTCTGGAGCGGGAGGCGGCAAGCCCTATTTTTTGAGCTTACAGTGGAACGGAACGCAGACAAAGTTTTGACACGCGTCCGATCGCACTGTGGGCGGGGGTGTGTGGAAGCGGTGCCACTGAATTCAATGCACCACCACGCCCCCCTCCCGCCCCAGGAAGCAGGGGGACATTTTGTGAGCGATCGCGGTGCGTTCCAGCAGCTACCGCTCTGCTTTCGTGTGTGAACAAAGCCTAACTATGAGGATGAGTGGAAATCACTCACCTCAGTTTTCTTTAAAGGAGAACTATGAGGTGAGTGCTTTTCACTCACCTCATAGTTCTAGCCGACCTGTGACAATGAGACTGTCACAGGTCGGCTCAGTAGATCGGGAGGTGAGCGAACACATACGGGGTTCGCTCACCTTTCGATCCTGTCACGGCTCTCTGCCGTGACAGGGGGAGGGGCTGTATTCCCCGCTCCGATCTGCCAGCGCTGACTGGCGGAACAGACGGGGAGGGGGCGGGTACAGCTGGCTCTGCCTCTAGATAGGCAGAGCCAGCTGTCACTCACGCAGCTGGGCGGATCCCGTCATCTAAAGCCCCGTTCACATTGAGCGATTTATCGCGCGGTAATCCCCGCGATGTCGCGGCAAATTACCGCGCGATATTGCGCTCCAATGCATTTCAATGGGGCAAAGAGTCCTGCTGTTGCGGGTCGTGTGTCGCTACAGCAGGACCCTTTTTGGAGCGGATTTAGCCGCGATTCAAGCTTGCTCAATGCAAGCTTGAACGCGATATCGCGCTGCAAATCTCGTGATATCGTGCAATATGCAAATCGCGCGACAAACGCGCGATTTGCATATCGCGCAGTGGGAACGGGGCCTAAGTCGGGATCCGCTCCAGCTGAGGCATCTCAGTATACCGCGAGCTGTAGCTCGCGGTATACTGAGCCTAGGGTGACGGGAGGACGCTAGTTTGTGTCCTCCCGTTACCCTAAGGAGAACTATGGGGAAAAACACTAACCCCATAGTTCTCCTTTAAGTTTCCACAACTTGACTGTAATTATTTGTTGTGTAAACACATGTAACAAAAATAATCACTGTGCTTCTCAACCAAAAATACAGGAAATATCTCTCACAGAGGACTCACAATGCTACTATAAACATAAAATGTAACAAATCCAGAGCTCAGATACGGCAGCGATACAAAAAATACACTTTTATAAGGTTACATGTTCCCATTCACATAGCGCAACATCAAATATTTACAATGTGTTTCTTCCCATCTTACTCTTTTCTGAAAACTCCAAAATTGAAGTTTTTTTCATTCTTGGTCATTTCACGGAGGGGGGCTTGAGGGGGGTTAATGTTTATAATAATGTCTACAAAAGGGTGGATTTTACAGGTAAATAACATGCATAAAACATGTTCAATGCAAATGTAATCTTATGGATCATCAGAAGGTCTTTAATAATCACTGTTTCTTTGAATAATTGAAAATATGGATCGGAAAACAGCAAACATCATAAAGTTATTTAACGATTTCCTAATTACTTTTTGAAAACGGGTCTACATCATAGTGAAAGTTTTAGTTTAGCCATCTTCAGCCAATATTCTTGCAATGGGGCAAAAAATATTCATCTATGGCCAACCTTCAGTATCCAACTAGACCTAGCAGTTAAAGCTATCCTTGTAGGATGCTGGAGGCATTGACACATTTCTGTTTCCTTAACAGGCGTGGGAATACTCGGGGAGAGCAAGGCTCCCATTCGGAGTTTAAGTACCTGGTGGACTCTGAGGAGGAAGGAGAAGAAATATTTCTGGAGAAGGACTTTGACACAGTTGACTCTTTCTGGAGTCTCCCAAGCTACAAGACAATGGCAGCTATAGGTGTTGGGATTATATTGCTCTGCTTGCTGGCAGCTGGTTTTGCTTATCTGTCTGGAAAATCAGGATGTACACTAGTAGATGTATCAACATCATGTGGAAAGGTTCGTGGTCATCATTGTGATCATGTTTATATGTTTAAAGGGATTCCTTATGCCAGTCCCCCCACTGGGCCATTGCGTTGGAGGCCTCCTGTGGAGCCCACCTGCTGGAATGACACTCTCAGTGCCACAGAGTTCAAGCCCATGTGTGCCCAAGTGAGGCCTTTGAATGCCACAGGCACAGTGATGGGCTCAGAAGATTGCCTGTACGTTAATGTGTGGACACCATCACTGGATCTTGAAGCCAAACTTCCAGTCATGGTTTGGATCCACGGAGGCTACCTTTTAATTGCCAGTGGGTCAGAGCCTGGCTATTGTCCAAATGAAGATCTGGTAATGCACAGCCATATGGTTCATGTCAGCTTTAACTACCGTCTTAATGCATTTGGATTCCTGGCTTTGGCTGAACTCCGAGAAGGATCTCCCACCAACACCTCTGGTAAATATAACACAAAGCAATCAAAGAGCTTGTATCTGTCAGTGCCGACATCCCAATCATTTTTTTATTTCTTCTTTACTTTAATCTTTAATAGTCAAGATTTATTTAGGGCCATTTTTCTGCTTATTGCCTGCTGTCAGTATGGAGATGGTGCAGTTATTGTGCAGCTATCAGTTTTAGACAAGGAGATAGGGTTCAGCTACATCAGTGCTGAAGGTGCAACTGTGTCAGATGATCCCAATTACAATTACTACTTCCTGCTATTTACTGTCTATGTGCTCATATTATAGAGGTAAAAAACACAATTCATCTACTTACCCGTTTTGATCAAAGAGCTTAATGGGACCTTCAAAAACGTTTGCATATGAGCCGAGGGGTGTCTGTTTAGACTTTGCAACTCCATTTTACCTCTGCACCTAACCATCAGTTGGTTACATTTACAGCTCCTGGCTACTGTACAGATATAATATTAACTTTGGGATGCATTATTTATTTGCATGTAAACATAATGGATGTCAGAGAGCTGAAAGTCCTTTTCTTCGGTTCCAAGAGAGGTGGCAGAGCTAAATAAAATCTAGGACTTGAGCCTAGTTGGGAAAGTGGGTCCTTATACAGTATTTTGCTGGCCTCTGGTTTTAAAGGATCACACCCCCCTCCCCCCCCCAAAAAAAAAGAAGGGGAGGAGCTATAGTTAGTATGCAGTTTTCTCTTAAATATCCACATTAGTAGATATTCCAGTATAGAATTGATTCTGCCAGATCCGGTATAAATTGGATTTTGCCACGTTTCCCCCTAGCACCTTGTATTGGGACATCTGGTTCCAATAGTGGACCAGTAAGACCACAGACGCCGGAGTGATGGTTGCCAAGGCAGTGACCTGAAATTTCTGCCTCTGCATGGGTAATCCTAGATCCTCTCCTCCTATTATTCTTATAATAAAAGAAAGAGCCCCCTCACTTGTTTACATTTTTTGCAGGGAGGAGGCACATTCCCTGGTGGTCCAGTGGTGGGATTAGTATGGTCTGCACTTTAGGCTGGTGCAGACTTTAGTAATCCCTCCCCTTTGGCTGGCTTTCGGCCTCAGTGAAGGCTGTCAGAGTCTCAGTTGCACGTCGCTGACTCACACTGAGCCTCCTCCCTGCACCACCAGGAGCAGCTGTGCGGTCTGCATCCAACAGGGATGCAGACCGTGTAGCTGCTCCGCCAAGTTAGGTAAGCGGTCTGTGACTGCATGCCTGACTTGTCTGCCGACTGTGGACGGCATGGTATGGGATCTCGGGCCGGAATTGGCTCACGGGCCGGTACTTTGACACCCCTGCTGTAAACATTGACCGCTGTTCTACAGCTACAATAGTCCTCTTAAAATCCTTAGTCGTAGTATTAAAGAAAAACGTGCCAAGACCTTTCTTCCTTATTCCATAAACGTAATCATCTCCAACGGCCTTTATCTAGCATTAGTAAGCAAGAAGATACTTGATAGAGGCCATGGGGGCTGGGGAATCTGGTTCAGTTTATGGAATAAGGAAGTAGGTTTGATTGTTATTGCTGCTGCAGTCAGCGCTTGGTGGGATGTGCACTATGTGGATCATTACTCACATTTTAATTTGTCTATCCAAACCTAGATTTACACAACCATGCTAGACAGCTCAGGCAGAGTGATGACTCAAATGGTCCCCTTCTGCACTCAGGCAATACAGCTTGGTCACTGACCAAGTGCACAAGGCCTCAATTGTGACTGGACAGTGAAAGAGCAGCAGATGGCTGATGAGCTCATCTCTCTGCTCACTCCTGTTTCCTCCTATCTGCATGGTTCTTGTCGCCACATCCGACTGGCCAATAGTAAGTCAAAAAGGTACCTACATTTTTTGCATTTAAAAATAAATGTAAAGATTTCTTTTAATAAACACATAGATGCATTCATGAGGTTTTTCTATGACATTAGCCCTGAGAATAATCTGTTTCTCAATCATTGACTTGCAGGAAATTATGGATTAATGGATCAGTTGGCTGCTCTAAAATGGGTACAGAAGAACATCCAATATTTTGGCGGTGACCCAAACAAGGTGACAATTTATGGCCAAAGCTCAGGTGAGCACAGTGCGCTAAAATTAAATCATAACCACAATAAACAGTCTTCTGTCTTTATATATTTACTTCCTGTAGCCCAGGAGCTCACAATGAAATGCCCCTCCAGGTATGTGTTCTTAAGGTGGCTCATTTATTCACAAGCCAACCGACTTATTTTCTTCACATCAAACATATATGTATGTAAATGTCTTAGGAAAATCAAAATACTAAATTGCCTTTTGGGGGGGGTTGGGGGTTATGGGGGGTAGTTGCTTGAGAATTACTAAACTCTCAAGTAACCAGAAACTACAGTTATCCGGCACCTACCGACCCCCGTGGGTGCCAGCTAACTGGGAGTTTATTGTATTATTATATTATTATTATAAAACTGCTGAAGTAAAGCTTCTCGCAGACACCATTATGAAAAAAGTCTTGTTATTTTTATGGTTTTGGCTATCCTCATATGAATGCTCTTCTTAATGAAGGAGGAACTTCAGTCTGGACCATGATGGTGTCCCCTTTGGCCAAGGGTCTTTTTCATCGAGCCATTGATATGAGTGGATCGTCTGTGTTTAAAGCCACTATGGCTGAGGCAGAAAAGGACAACATGGTTTTCCTGAAGAAGACAGGATGCAAAGATGCTGAGTGTTTGAGGCAGCTGAACATAACCAAGATCCTTCAAGTAAGTGTCAATGACAGTTGAGAAGTTTACAGTCAATGGACAGAAAGGGTTTAGGGCTTTTGGGTCCTAAGTAGGGTGAACACATTACTGTAACTGATGAGATACACCATATTGCCAAATGTTTGTGAACATCAAACCATAACACCTATCATATTGCAAACCTACAATTGAAAGTTTAGTTGTTTCGAGTGAAAGGTACGGTTATTGCTACAGCATACAAAGACATTTTAGACAACTGTGTGCGCTTTTATCCATGTGACAACAGCTTGAGTAAGACCCTTCTCTGTTCCAGAGTGATTGCGCACAAGGCCAGGCCCCTAAAGACATGGTTTGGTGGGTTTGGTTTGGAGGAACCCCAGTGACCTGCACAGAGTCTTGATCTTAACCCTACTGAACACCTTTATAATGAATTGGAACTCCAATTGCAAACCAGGAGCTAGGTCTTCACATCCAACCTCAATACTTGACCTCACACATGTTTGGTTTTTTTTCAGGCTCAATGGCACATATTCCCACAGACACACTCAAAAATCTTGTGGAAAGCCTTCCCAAACCAGTGGAGGCTTTTATAGCTGAAAAAGCGCCGGGAGTGTCGGGTGAACGGATGATCCGACACTCTCGGCGCAGAGATTGGGGGCCCGCTGGCCGCTGGGTACCAATCCGGTGCTGGGACTGTGCTGGGCCCCCCCCAGGTCTAAGCCCTGGTGCGCCCGCACCGCCTGCACCAGCGGTAGTTCCGCCACTGGGTGCAACCCCTTAGTTATGCACATGGTTTTGGAATAGAATGTCCAACAAGCTCACCAGGTCAGATGTCCACAAACGTTTGGCCATGACATGTATTATCACTTTTTTGGAGTGCTATATATATATATACACACTTTGCAGATTGATAAAAGGTAATGTCAGCTACACCTAAAATAAACTTCCTTACCTAGTTGTACAATACAAGTGACATACTCCCAGAACATAGACATGGAGGGTTTACTTTCAGATATTGTTGGGCAAATGTTCGATTTGCAGGTGCGTTGAGCAAACATGCTGAAAAGTTAGCCAGTTGCAAACTTTAATGCAAACCCCATTGAAGTCAATGAAAAGTGAATCTTGAAAAAACATTTTCAAGGCTAATAGACAAGGGATAGGGAGCTGGGCACTGTTTTGGGGAACTAATCTAAGCCTTTTTAGTAGGCTGCATTGGAGGAGTGAGAGATGAGGCACTTTATATCCAGAGATAACATTTGCACTGGATTATGTCAGAGACACAAGGCAGAAGTATTAAACGAACACATGTATGCCTTTTTAGTAGGCCATGTTTGAGGAGTTAGAGACAAGGTAGTTCTTATCTAAAAATATAAATTGCATTGGATTAGGTGAGAGACACAAAGTGGAAATATTTAATAATTGGCAGGAGATGATAATGGATGGAAGGCCAGCAGTGCGGGCAGGAGATAGTAATGACTGGCAGGCCAGCAGCAGTGGCAGGAGATGGTGATGGATGGCAGGCCGACAGTGATATTAGTATACAGTAATGCTCTATGGCCGGGGTATTCAAAGTTCGGCACTCCAGCTGTTGTGGAACTACAAATTCCACGAGGCATTGCAAGACTGTGGCAGAAATGAGCATGACTCCCAGCAGCAGATCCACTTCCTGTCCTGGCCATAATGATTCACCTGACCAGATTTCCCCGGTCACAAGTCATCCCTACTCTCAAATAAAATGATCTACTTATTTTATGGCAATGTAGCTTTCTGAGTGATATAATATAACCTGTGTTATTTCTAGTCCATCCCTTGGAATGAATACCCAGAATGGGCAGCAGAAGACCTGTTTGACTTGCCACAAAACAAAAAATTGATTGGCTCGTTGCCTGTAGTGGATGGATATGTGGTGCCATTTCCTCCATTGGATATATGGAAGGAGAAGAAAGAAGGCTACAGTGATGTGCCATATGTGATCGGTACCACCCTGCAAGAAACTGAATTTGCGTAAGACAATAATTATCATCTCTTGAATTCAGCGACAAGGTCCAGGGGAGGATCAGGTTCCTTTGGCCTGTGAGGAAAACACAACCAACTGTTATATACTGTATTTCTATATAGGTACTGTATAAGCCAAAATTCTAAACACCTCCCCCCCCCCTTCCCCCAGAGCTTTGGTACATGCACAGTTTGTACATAAGATTATCATTCTCAGCTTAATGCCATCAGTTGACATTTACATGAACATGCAACACCACCAGAACAAATTTTAAAAGACTTGAAGTGACCCACTACCTTTCTTCCACATGACAGTATCGGTTCTTAGCGCTTAGCAACTTATGGCCCAGCGCTGACACATGGGGACTGGGAGAGAGTCCATAGCCCTGTGTAAGCTCTAATTTGTAACTTGGAGCATAGACAGAACTTTTCCGAACTCCAGGCGGCAAAACAGAGTGTTGGCAAGTCAAAGGCAGATACACATGGGTCAGCCTTAAAGTGAACCTGTACATTGTCCTTCATGGGCAAATCACAGGTTCATTAAACCAGGCTGACCGACCTTTGGCAGACTTTGGTCAGCTTTGGACACAATTATTTGGTTTTGGGACACAGTTATTGGCGTCTCAAAATCTTAGCAACTGTTGACCAAATATGCCAAATTCTAAATGTTTCTTCTGAGCTTTATCCACTGGGCACCATAACCCAGGAACCATGAAGAAACTGACTGTACATTACACTCCGTGAAAGTTTGCAGTGGGCATGTTGGATAAAATACACAATTCACAGTGGAGGTCATTGAATTCCTTTCCAGTCACTGCTGATTATAACCCTATCCTTTCCATTATACTGCTTGGAGGGAGGCCTGGACTTTGCCTCTCCCAGGCCCTCAGAATGCTCCCCATTTATACTCTCACTACACTGTGTTTCCCACTAGAGCAGTGGTTCTCAACCTGTGTAACCTCAGGACCCACATATGTCCTTGGTTATTAAGTTGCAACCCAAGTTGAACTGCAATAGAACACATGGCATGTGGTACCACACGTTCTGATGCGGGCAATAGAACTGTCGGTGGGAGATGCATTTGGGATGCCATTCAAATGAATGGCAATGCAATGCACTCCCATACCAGAATGTGCTGTGACGGAGCGCCATCCGTATGTGCATCACATGTAGAGGTGCCAGGAGCCAGAATGTGACATCACTCCTGTCCAGGCACCTCTACAGGATACGCAAGGGTGCTGTAAGCAATGCACGTATGGATGGAGCTCCCTTCTGCTCCTCCACATAGTCAGCGGCCAATGTGGGGTGGTGCAGGTAATCCCTACAAAGCAGGAAGGCGGAATGGGTCCATGATGGTGAGGTTTAGTGACCAGTTTGGTAAAGCCTTTGTCTCTGGGACATTAATAACTTATGGCTATAGAAAGGTGACCGCAGGCTCCAGCTGGTGGTCTTTTTAGAAAGGCCTAAATTCCAGCAGGATACAGTGCTTACTACAGTGTTACATTGCCTTATGCCAAATGTTGTTTTCAGCTGCGGCTATATACTATGCATCCCATGGTTCAATGTAATTATATTTTATATATTATATAGTATATTTTTTTTTTCCACAGCCCATTTTTCGCTAACCTGTCCAAGTGGACTGAGGAGGATTATCGCTGGTTTGTCAAATGTGAGTGTTCTCCCACCGATTACATTTTAAACTTTACATGAATCTCCAATCATACTTATATAGGATGACTTGTGTAATATTCTTCTCAGTACGTCTGAACACATTTGGGGCAAGTCTGGCAGACGAAGCTCTGAATCTCTATCGCACCTTGGAGTTCTGCACCCAACCTGAGAGATGTGTGGAGAAGACTTACATGACTATGGTGTCCGACCTGAGAGCCTCCTGTCCCAACAACGAGTTGGCCAAACAAGCAGCAGGTACATGTATATCCTCTCTCTGGGAATTCTATTGCCTCTTTGTTTACAAAATGTAAAAGTTCAAAGCAAATCTGTCATCTGCCCTTTATATTTTTTATTGCTGTGTCCCTCTTGGAGATTTACACTCACTTTTTGTCCTGGTGATATGTTGTCAGAGACAGGAACTCAGTGGAAATCTTACCGTACCAACAGGGACCTGGATAGCAAGACAATGTGTCAGAGGATTTAACCCAAAAAACAGACATTTCCCAGCACACTCACCAGCCAGCCTGCAAAGAAAAAAAGTTTTAAAAAAAAGTACACTGTCCTAACTACTAAGGTTAAAAAACAGAGGTTTTAGTTGCACAACTTTTGCAGAATATGTGGAAGCCGCACTGCCTCATCAAGGCCCTCCGTGTAGTGTGGTCCTAACTCTAACCTATGAGAGTCTCCATCTTGG